GCAAATATTTACTTTTACTCACACTTTTGAATTTTCAGTGGTGTGTTTTGAAGACCAGAATTTTGATGAATTCTGAGTTATCTATTTGTTTTTGTGGTTTGTGCTTTTTATATTCTTAGAAACCTTTTGCCTACCACAGGGTTGCTAAGATTTTCTCCCAGAAGTTTTATCGTTTGTGATTTTACATTTTAAATACATCATCCATTTTGAATTAAGTTTTGTATATGGTACAAAGTATGAATCAAGGTTAATTTATAGAAAGATACTGCTATAGATGCTCTGGTAGTGTGGTGGTTATGAATCGGGCTGCTAACCTCAGGGTCAGCAGTTCAAAACTACCAGCTGCTCCATGGGAGAAAGATGAGGCTTTCTGCTCCCTTGAAGATTTACAGCCTCGGAAACCCTGTTCAGGGTCTCTATGAGTCGGAACCGACTTAAAGGCACTTAACAACAACAACAATGTAGCTTAAGATATAGAAACATATCATATAATTCACAACACACAGTAAAGGTTCTAGAAATAGACCACATATATTGTCAACTGATTTTCAACAGAGGCACAAAATAATTCAGTGAAGGGTTAGTTTTTTTTCTAGAAATGGTGCTGAAATAATTGCATATCTATATGTACACTTTAGTTGCAGTAGGGTGCTTTCAGAAAAGATCCAGTCCAAATGGTGGGGATATGCTAGGCCAGTTAAATTCAAGGCTGAGAGATTATCTAGCTCAGAAGGTTTTGGAGACTATTTTTGAGATTCCAAAGCTAATCTTTATAGATTGCTTCAAAAGACATGTGACAATTGCAGAGGCTTATCAGGAATAAGTTTTAAGAAAATTGAAAACTACAATAGTGATAAAAAAGGCCAGGAAAGTAAAGCCAAGAAGTTGTTTTTTATCAAGACAATACAACTGCTCATTCTTTGAGAGCAGTAAGGGAAACCCTTATGCCATCCACCCTACTGCCCTGATCTTGCCCCTTTAGACTTCATTTTGTTACCAAACCTGGGGGGGGGGAAGAAAAAAAACATTTAAAGTAACACAATTTGAATCCCTCTGAGATGCAAAAACAGCGGCTTTGTTGTAGTGTATGTCCAAGAACACAAATTCTTTGGCAAGAAATTAAAAACATTGCCTTCAGTAGTGTATATACATACATGGAAAATATGTTGAGTGAGAAACAAGAGCTTCACATGTTAATTTTGTTTATGAAAGGTTTTTGTGATTGTGTTGTTGTTAAGTGCCATCGAGTCTGTTCTGACCCATAGCAGCAACCCTGTATAGGGTTTCCGAGGAGCAGCTGGTGAGCTTGCCCCACTGCCCTTGCAGTTCAAATGACTTGGCAGCCTGGTGCATTAGCCCACAGCACCACACCAGGACTCCTTGTGATTGTATAGCAATACCTATTTACTCAACCTAGGACATCTATTTGTTACCAATTGTTGTTAAGTGCTGTTGTGTCAGTTCTGACTCATAGTGATGGAGTTTCCATATAAAGTTTGCAAGGAATGACTGGTGGGTTTGAGCTTGGCATTAACAGTTCAGTGCTTATCCTGCAGTGCCACACCAATACTAAATTTACTAATTACTAAGATTTGAAACCAGGTTGAATAACTCCTTCAACTCTGTACTTCCTTCTTAAAATTCCTTTGATTATTCTAGAAACCCAAAGACATCTGCTAAAATTTTGATTGGGAGTGCATTATATGAAAGGATCAATTTGAAAAGACTTGACATTTTAACAATATTGAATCTTCTACTTCATATACTTGAAATATATTTCTTTTATTTATATTATTATTTTTTCTTATCCCAGTTTTGTAGTTCTAAGTGTTCTAAGAGACTTGGAAGGTTTTGTTAGATTCATGTATAAGTATTTTATGTTTTTTTGGTGCACCTATAAATGGTATTTATTTTCCAATTGTATTCCAAGAATAGAGTCTTTGTGTATTAACCTTTTATATTGCAACCTTGCTAAATTCATTTCTTCTTTCCAGTTCTTATTATGTAAATTTTCTAAGGAAAAGAAAAGAAACCACATCATATGTAGATAGGTTCAATTTTAAAGTCTCTTGCTTACATCTCATTTAGCCAGAATCTAAGATTATGGTTTGGGTTTTTGGTGTTCTAAGAAACCTTTCCTACCACACCTCTGGGGAGTCTACAAATTGTAGGGGTTTTTTTTTTAGCTGGATGGCATCTAGAAATCAGGGATCTTTTACTAAAGAAGAGAATAAAGTAGATACCACGTAGCTGTCTGTCCTACGCCCAGAATCTCTTCCTTCCACAGTCTTCAGTAAATGTCAACTCCATTCTTCCAGTTGCTTAAGCTAGACATCTTGGGATCATCATTGACTCTTCTTTCTCTCACACTCCACATCAGGCCCTCCAGCAAATCATATTGATCCTTTCTTCAAAGTATTCTGGTGGTGGTAGTTGTGTGTTGTGGAGTCAGTTCCGAGGGTATAAGTCTTTATGGGAGCAGAGAGCCTCATCTTTCTCCTAAGTCTGACTAAAAAACAAACAAGCCAAACTCTTTGCTGTAGAGTTTATTGCAAGTCATTTTCACCCTATAGGAAAGAGTAGAACTGCCCCATAGGGTTTCCAAGCTTTACTCTTGGCTCTATAGGTTAATGCGCCAGATTGCAAAGCCATTTGAACTACAAGGTCGGCAGTTTAAGGTCACCAGCTGCTCCTCGGAAATCCTATACAGGGCTTCTATGAATTGGAATCGACTCAGCTGGCACTTAACAACAACAACAACCACATCTTTCACCCATGGAGCAGCTGGTGGATTCAAACCAGCAACCTTGTGGTTAGCAGATGAGAACTTTCACCACTGTATCACCAGGGCTCCTTCTGAACCAATCTTCTTGTTGTTAAGTGCTGTCAAGTTGGTTCCAACTCATAGCAACCCTGTTTAGAATTTCCGAGGAGCGACTGGTGAGTTTGACCTGCTGACCTTGTGGCTCAAACCAACCCTATGCTTGAGTAGCTTTTCTTCAGCACCACACCAGTACTCCTGAATCCATCTCCTTCTCACCAATTCCACCACTTTTAGTATAATTTATTATTCCCTCTTCTTGACTTGTGAAAAAGTGCCCCAGTTGATCTTTCTGATCCTACCAATCCATTCTTCACATAACAGTCAGATGATTCTTCAAAAGTATAAGTCATGCCACTCCTCTGTGCACAGTTCTCAGTTACTTCCAGTTCCCTCTGAATAAGATCCAAAGTACAGCTGTGGTCTGAAAGGCCCCATGCCATTTGGCCCTGGCTAACATTAAATCTGTTCTTTTCCCCCTCATTCATTCTACTTCAGCTCTATTGACTCCCTTGATGTTTCTTGAGTGTGCTAAGTACATACCCATTTCAGAGTCTTTGTATCAACTGCTCTTCTGCCAGGTGTCCCTGGGGTGACGTCTACCTAACTTCTTTCAGGTCTTTGATCAAATATCACATTATCAAGGATGCCTTCCCTAACAGCCCTATTTAAATGAAGATTCCCTCTTGTCAATCTGTTTCCCTTTGTGCTTTTTTTTTTTTTGGTGTCTTATACTGTGCGATTGTATGTGTATATGTATGTATATAAGGAGCTCTGGTAGCGTAGTGGTTACGAATCGGGCTGCAAACCTTAAGGTCAGTGGTTCAAAACTACCCAGCCGCTCCGCGGGAAAAAGATGAGGCTTTCTACTCCCGTAAGGATTTACACCCTCGGAAACCCTGTACAGGGTCGCTATGGGTCGGAACCGACTCGAAGGCACTTCACAACAACAACAACATGTATGTATATACAGTCACGTACTTAAAAATATATGTGAATTTGTACATTGAATGCCACACACACACAAGAATTAGAGTTCAGACTTGGTCTGTTTGTCCACTTATGTGTTCCCTATCAGAGTGATCTAAAAAGAAAGTATTGGAACTAAAAATGAATGAACAGAAACCAACCATGCAAAACCCCAAAAGAAGAGCATTTCAGGCCAAGAGAACTAAAGTGAAAACAAGATTGCAATATTTGGGGGCATAAAGAAGCCCCATATAGTTATATATAGTAAGTGATGGGGATTGTCGAACAGGATGATGTTGGGGAGAGAAGCAGGGACCAGATGGTCTTTGGAGTTTTGCTTGTCCCATATGCAATGAATAGAGAGTTACCAACATCTTTGGTACCTAAGCCCTTTCCTAACCTCTGGGAAGCTCTAGGGTTACATTATAGAAAACAATTATTACTAGCCACATATGACAGTCTAAATTTAAATTAATCAGACATAAATTAAAATTTGGTATCTCAGTCACCCTAATCATATTGCAAGTGTTAAATAGCCTTATTTGTGGCTGTTATCAAGTGCTGTTGAGTCAGTTCCAACTTTCACCACTATAGGATTTCTGAGGAGTAACTGGTAGGTTTGAACCTCTGACCTTGTGGTTAGCAGTCTGGTGTTTATCCTATAGCACCACACCATTTGTGGCAAGTGGCTACCTTGCTGAACAGCACAGATCAAGAATATTCCACCATCACATAAAGTTCTCTTGGAGAACGCTGCTCTAAGAAAGACAGTGGAAGCGGAAATGATGCCAAGTACGCACTGCCTCTCTGTGATTTTCTCTTTTAATCCTACGGTCAGTGTTTTACTATTTAAATGGAAATATATGTGTTGCCAAGAAAACTAGCATGTGGCCTGTTCCATATGCAAATGTACTTGTGGGTGATTTTTACCTATGACAGAAAGACGGGAAGGACTGTTAAAATCACAAGCATTCATAACCTTATTATAAATACATCACAAATGTAAAAATGCAAAGTGAAAGCAGCTTTCAATTTATTTTTAATAGGTGTTTTCTTTCTTATTGTATCCTAGGGACCTTGCTGCAAGAAATTGCCTGGTAGGTGAAAATAATCTTCTGAAAATCAGTGACTTTGGAATGTCTCGTCAAGAGGATGGTGGAGTGTATTCATCATCAGGCTTAAAGCAGATTCCCATTAAATGGACAGCACCAGAAGCTCTGAATTATGGTAAGGACAGACTCTGTCTCTCCCTTCAGTGGTAAAAATGAGCTGCATCAGCATGAAACATGAATACGGAAAGTTACAGGGAGAGCAGAGCTCAACTTAGAATGATTTGAGGATACACACACATCAATGATGGGTAAATGGACATATGTTCGAACTTAGTCATGAGCACAGACTTAATTCATTGCAATTATTGATCAGATTTCTGTATGTAAGAGTGCATTTTTAAGCCTATTTATCATCTGAGAGAGAGAGGGTTTATTTGCCAAAAAGAATTATTATTTTTATTTTTAAAGTCAACTAATACACCAAGCTACTCATTGCTTTGGTTCTGGGCCATTTCTTTTGAATGTCATATATTGTTCCAGTAAACTCATCTAATGTTAGGTTCCTAGAATATTAAATAAATCCATTCTTTAGTTTTTCATTCCGAAAATAGGCAGTGTTTTTTAGCACCTCAGTCTCCGGAACTTGTATAAATCTTGTAGAAAGAGGGAGTAGGAGTTAGATTTTAAAACAGCAGGGATTATTTTGCACTTGATTTTTATGTGTCACTATAATTGGTAATAAATACTGCATTATCTGTAGGGGGGATGAAATGGGCCATATCAAGATGGTTAACAGCTCAGGATTTTTTTTAAAAAAACACCAGATTGTACTTTAAGTGAAATTAGAAATTACATTTTCATTAAGGACAATAGGATTTGACACCATGATTTGTTGAAATGATGTAGTATGTTTTGAATAAATAATATAAAATGATGCTCTGTTGATTTAAACCAAAAATTACTTTATCATGAAAATTAACTTTTGATGCCTATCTTAAATTAAAGGCAGATAACAGTTTTGAACATATTAAGTTTGGTAGTTAATTGGGACCAATCCAGACACCAGAATTTGTTTTGTAAGGATTCTGTATACCAAAAACACTATGAAATGTATAAATGTAGGTAGTTGTCACCCTCAGAAATTGAATAAGCTATTATAGTTGGCTGAAAGAACTGAAGGAGGAAAAAAAAGGCAAACTTCAACTTGCAATTTGAAGGATTCTTTAGGCAGTGTTTCATTCTGTTGTGCATAGGGTCGCTATGTTTTGGTACCAACTCAATAGCACCTAACAACAACAAGTGGCCAAAATATTGAATGATGCAGAAAGCATTGCTAGTGAGAATGTAAAATGGTTCAACCACTCCAGAAAACAGTGTGGTGCTTCTCTAGAAAGTTGGAAATAGAAACACCTATATATGCACACCAGTGTTCATCACAGCACTACTCACAATAGCAGAAAGATGGAGACAGCTGAAGTGCCCATCATTGGAAAAATGAATTATCAAACTTTGGTACATACATGCAATGGAATACTCTTCAATGTTAAAGAATAACAATAAATCTTGCAAAGCACCGTATACCATGGATGAGCCTGGAGGACATTATACTGAGTGAAATTAGTCAATCACAAAAGGACAAATATTGTATGAGATGATTATTCTAAAAGCGTAAGAAAATGTTTCCAAATGTAAAGAAACATTCTTTGGTGGTTATCAGGTGTGGGAGGGAGAGGGTAGACACATGTTAGCGCAGGTGACGCAGACAGCAATATACAAGAATAAGGAGGGCAATTCCCAAAAAGAAGGCGGTGGCAGAAGAATAATGAAGATAGGTGAAGACACAGGAAGGTATGCATGAGAAAAATAGTGATATATACACAACTTGGAACAACAGTGCTGTGTGTGTAGATACATGGATTGAGACATAGGCTAAATGGGTAAGGGAGGAGGAGTGGGATATATTTATTCAAATATCCCCAAAATATATGAGTTTGAAACAAGACATCTGTATATGAGTATTTACCTTTCATGTAAACACAGCTAAGAACATGGTAGAACATACAGTTGGCAAAATGATGAAAATTTCCTAGATATTACCAAACATTTTAAAGCAATGATTTGATGGGGATTTGGGCTCAGGACCATAATCTTAGGGGACACACCTGGTCAATTGACACAAAGACAGTGTTCTACATCCTGCTTAGGTGAATAGCTTCTGGGATCATGAAAGCTCATGACCTTAGTGGCTATCTAAGGTGCAGCTATTAGTCCCTCCCTGTGTAGAAGAAAGAAGAGTGATAAGAACTGAAAAAGTTTGGAATCAATTAGTCCAATTGACTAATGTGACATGTGAACATCAGTCTCCTCTACTCTGAGACAAGAAGAACTTGACAGTTCCTGGCTACCACTACCAACTTCCCTAAAAGGGATCACATTAGAAGGGCCCAGATAGAGTGACAGAAAATGTGGAACCAAACTCAAAATTATTTAATTAAAAAAAATTTTTTTTCAACTGGGTTTACTGGTCAGCAAGAGACTGGAGGAACCTGAGACTATAGCCCTCAACCACCCTTCAGGTCTGGAAAGGAACTCACCTTCATGCCCAATTTTCAGCCAAGCAGTAGATAGGTATAGTATAGATGGGGGGACAACAACACTAGCAAGGTATGCTCACCATGGAATAATCAATCATTCTAAATTAAAAAGGCAACATTTTTCTAAGAACAAAGTTGAAAAGGGATAGGAAGGTAGTTAGAACACAAATAGGAACCACAGAGAGAAAACTGTTGTTGCATAAAGGAGGTGGGAAATACAGAGATGAAATAAAGTGTATGATTTGTTGGATGTAAGGTGATGATCTTGTCTGTAAACCTTTACTCAACTCAAAACAAAAAGTTAAATACACAATCACTGTCCAAAAGAAATGGTACATGTTCAGCCATTTCAAGAGCTAGCATATGATCAAGAGCTAATGGTACTGAAGGAAGAACTATAAGGTGTACTGAAGGCATTGACATAGAACAAAGCCCTGGGATGGAATATAAATTGAAATCTTTCAACAAACTGATGTAGCACTAGAAGCGCTCACTCATCTATGCCAAGAAATATGGAAGACAGGTACCTGGTCAAATTATTGGAAGAGATCCATATTTGTGCCCATTCCAAAGAGAAGTGACCCAATGGAATGTGGAAATCATTGGACAATATTATTAATATCATATCTAAGTAAAATTTGGCTAAGAATAATTTTTAAATGGCTACAACAGTACATTTACAGGGAACTGCCAGAAATTCAAGCTGATTCAGTTGAGGATGTGGAACGAGGGATATCATTGCTGATGTTAGATGAATCTTATTTGAATGCAGAGAGTATCAGAAAGATACTTATCTGTGCTTTATTGATTATGCAAATGTTTTCAACTGTGTGGATCATGACAAGCTATAGACAACATTGTGTAGAATGGGTGTTCCAGAACACTTAATTTGCTCATCAGGAACCTGTACATAGACCAAGAGGCAGTTGTTCAACCAGAACAAGGGGACACTGAATGGTTTAAAATCAGGAGGAGTGTGTGCCACTGTTGTTATTGTTTTACCTTACTGATTTATATGTATGCTGAGCAAATAATTTGGGAAACTAGATTATATGAAGAAGAATGTGGCATCAGGATTGGAAGAAGACTCATTAGTAACCTGCGATCTGCCAATGATACAACCTTCCTTGCTGGAAGCAATGATACAACCTTCCTTGCTGGAAGCAAACAGGACTTAAAATACTTACTGATGAAGATCAAAGACCATAGCTTTCAGTGTGGGTTGCACCTCAATGTAAAGAAAACAAAAATCCTTAACCACTGGACCAATAAATAGGTTCATGATAAATGGAAGACTTCGTTTTGCAGTAGTCATGAAAACAACTATAAAGAAATTGAACAACATATTGCTTGGAAAATCTGCTGCTCTTTAAAGTGTTTGAGAGTAAAGATGTCAGTTTGAGGACAAAGCTGCACCTGACCCATGTCATTGTATTTCAATAGCCTCATATACATATGAAAGTTGGACAATGAATTAGGAAGACTTTAGAAGAATTGATGCATTTGAGTTATGGTGTTGGAGAAGAATATTAAAAGTACCATGAACTGCCAGAAAAACAAATCTATGTAGGAAGAAGTATTGCCAAAATGCTCCTTAGAATCCAGGATAACAAGTTTCATCTCTCATACTTTTGACATATTATCAGGAGGAACCAGTCCCTGGAGAAGGGCATCATGTTTGGTAAAGTAGAGAGTCAGCAAAAGAGAGGAAGACCACCAACGAGATGAACTGAAACAGTGGCAGTAGCAGTGGGTTCAAGTTTAACAATGATTGTGAGCATGGCACAAGACTAGGCAGTGTTTTGTTTTTTGGGTTTTTTTTTCTGTTGGGCATAGGCTTATTATGATTCGGAGTCAACTCAACAGCACCTAACAACATTGTAGGTGGCAACAAAACATTTTTTAACCTAACACTCAACAGATATAACTCCTTACCCATATGTTGCCATTCCATGTGCCAGAAAGAAATCTTTTTGTGAGTCTTCCAGTGATCACAAACCAATTCCACTCTTCCCCAGAATCTATAGCCAACAGTAGCCATGTTATTTGTCATAGTGATTCTTCTCTGTGGTGGTTGTTACTCTGAAACTGTCTTACTAAAGGAACAGTCACAGAACAAACATAGGATTACATTAGGTGTTCACACTAAGGTCTTTTAAATCCCTTCTTGTCCATTCTCAAAGCATCCCTATAAGAGAACTCTAGCTGGACATGTTAGGCCTACAGGTCAATTAAAATTAAGAACTCTATTCTTAACTCTAGTTGCCAGATTCTCTATATTATGCTGTCTGAAAAAATCTTGCAGTTAGCAGTTTATGCCAAGTAAAATCCTTTCACTCACAGCATAGTTTTTTCTGAATTTAGTCTATTAAAGTATTTACAATTCTAGGAGCCTGTAGGATTCTAGACAGCCAGACCTAACACATTTTAAGTAATAAGGACAAATTTCAGGATTTTCAGTGTATATCCAGTACTTCCATTTTTGGAAGTCTTTAATATTAACTTAATAAAATGCAGAACAACCTGGATGACAGAGAGATTTTAGCAGTAGTTGAGGAAAAAGTCTTAGTCTGAACTACTTATTACTTAATCCATTGAGGGACTTCCTGAAAGGTCTATAAGTCTCCTGACAAAATTGTACCCTGAGAAGTTGTTTCAGTTCTCGCAGGCTCTAAATCCTGGCTTTTTTTTTTTCTCAAGTAGAAAAAATATAATTACTTGATGAATGAAATTCCCTGTTTATTAATAGACTTCTTTCAAGTTTTATACAAATACAGTTGTATGGTTGAGAGTAAGCTTTTTTTTTTTTTTTGCCTCACTGCCAAAGTCCTTTTTTTCTCTACTGATTCTTTTTTGCACTCTTGCCTCAGAGTAGATGAAATACTGCCCAAGTCCCCATGAAGCATGGAGTTAGCATGAATGGAAAAGACCTTGAATCTAAGGAACCTCTCTGAAACTTTGGTATAGGGATGTAGATTTAGACAGATATTCTCATAATTTGCATGTACTTGATTCTTTTTCTCTTTTTTATCCCCTTGTTCCTTTTAACGGCCTTCCCCATAATCCACGTTGTCAGGTATATGTACTCTAGCCAGTAAAAGGATAGCTGGTGATGAATACTTGTTTTTTTGTTTTTCATTCAAGCCATATTAAAGGCCCTGGTGCGGTGCTAGCACTGTGGGTTAATGCGCTGGACTACAAGGTCAGTTTGAACCACAAGGTCGGTGGTTCAGGCTCACCAGTCGTTCCTCAGAAGCCCTAATCAGGGTTGCTATGGGGACGGAATAACTCAACCTCAATCAGCACTTAACAGCAACAGTGAAATGTAAGCGCATCTTCTACACCTGCACTTAACAACCCAGTTCCTCTTCCCAGACACAAGTACACTTAGCTTTCACTTACTTTCCTTTCAGAGACTTCTCTGCTATTCATTTTTCTATATACCCCAGCAAAAATCATGTGGGAGCATATTTGACTTCCGCTGACCTCATAAAAAGGAGAGAGAATCAAACTCAAAATCAACCCAAGGCCACGTCCTATGAGATGGAAGTTAGACCTGCCTCCACCCTACAACCTTCTTTACCCTATTCTGACACCAACCATTCCTCCCACAGTACTCTCTGCTTCACATCTGGGTTCGATAGTCCATTGCAATGGTCACACAGAACTCATAACAATATTTACGATTATGAGGTTTATTAGGGAAGTGAACAGGTTACAATTCAGGATCAAAAAGCAACTGAGAATGTATCAGTTTTCCAATCAGTAACACCTCTTGTCTGTCGTACTGCAGGCGTGCTTCACTCATCTTCATCTTCTAAGCTCTGTGTCTGTCCCCTTGGCTTCTGCCCTTTAAGTGTTACAGTTTTTTGCCAGTCTGTGAAGGCTCAACGTGCACATTCTTGAAGCCAATCTCCTCCTATCCTTAGAAACTCAGCCCATGTACCTAGAGCCCACAGCTGCTCTGTCTCATCATGCCACCACCTCTACCGTAGCTGCTTTTCTAAGTAGGGATCTCAGTCTTCCTTCCTGATGGTCCTGGGATCATCTGTTCCTGCTTCTGAGATGGTTCCTTTTAAGCCTAGCTGGAGGGCAAAATTAACCAATCCCAGCCTTAGAGTCCCGTACACCTTATTTGCATGGTCCCACCCAATTATTTGGTGGAAATTAAGATGACTTTGGATAGAAAAGCCATATCAAATAAATTTAAGATTTTTTTTAATTATTTTTTTTTTTTACACAAAATGCTAGCATACTTCATAGACTGTCCAGCATACATTGCCACCATCCTAAGACATTGCTGTCACCAGAGGTACTATAGAGGAAACAGGATACTGATCTCCAACTCAGGAATAAAATAACCTCATCAGTTATTGAATATAAAGCTTTTTCATTTGTCACCTAGAAAAATGGGGCTAAAGCACCCTCTGATTTAATTACTGTGGTGTGACTAATCCTCACCTACCCCTGTGAGGTAGGTGGGGATTTGTAGTGAAGAAAGTTCAGGACCACCATCAGTAATCAGGTTTCACAGCCAGTTCTGTCATGAGCTGTGGAAGCTTGGTAAGCCATCTGCTTCTTTGCACCTACATTTCCTAATTTGTAAGATGAGAATGATAGCACCTTTGCCTCCTGCTATTGAATGATAGGATCCAATGAAAGATGGAAAAGTAGCAAAATACTATGTGTGGTTGTAAGATAACATCTTTGTCTTAAACTTTCATACTAACTCATGTTGTTGTTGTTAAGTGCCTTTGAGTCAGTTCTGACTCATAGTGACCCTGTATAGTGTTTACTAGGAACAGCTGATGGGTTTGAACTGCCGGTTTTATGGTTAGCAGTCCAGATCCTATAGCGCTTCACAAGGAATCCATTAAAAATTTCCAGTAATATCAGGTTAAAAAGTGAAGGTTATCAAGTTATGTTTTAAGCTTTTGAAGTAGGATCTTGGCTTTTATATAACCTGATCTCTGTCCAAATATTATCTTACAAAAAAAAATGTATATATATATAAAACACTAGTAAAGTATGCTCACCATGGAATAGTCATCATACAAGATCAAAAGGGTAACATTTACTTAAAGACAAAGTTGAGAAGGGATGGGAAGGAGGGTGCAATGGAAACAGGGACCACAGGGAGGAAGTGGGATAACTGTTGTTGCGTGGAGGGGATTGTAAATATGGAGATGAAATAAAATGTGTGGTTTGTTGGATAGAAAACTGATGATCTGCTCTATAACCCTTCACTCCATTCACAATAAAAAGTTAAAATAAATAAATAAATAAAATATATTATAAATATATATATATATATATATATGACTCTGTAAAACTTACACTTTCTTAAAGAATGAATTAGCCTTGATGTGTTGCCACTGAGTGGCTTTCATGAAAAGTATTAAATTATTGGATGCCAAACTTGAAAAGAGTTGATCTGCAGACAAGAAAACTAATATTCCCACCAAGCAGCATAGTCAGTGCCTATAATTACTGCCTTCTAAGAAGGAAGCTAATTCACACAGCTGGAGATGCTGATCAGTAAGCACACTTGAGACTGACGTCAGCACAGTTATCATAGTGCAGGCAGGCTCTCATTTTAATTTTACTTTTTTTCGAGAAAGAGAAAGAGCCATCCTATTTCAAAGTAATAAGCTACATTTGGAGAACTGCTTATAAATACAAGAATGGCGGAGTTAAGGCAGGAAGCTACACAAGGGGTGGAAAATGAAAGCATTTAAGAAACCTTTAGCATCACTGATAATGGAGCTTGGTTATGATAGTGTATATTCCATATGTAGCATTAAAACAAACACACAAACATTTTGAGCAAATCTTGGACATTCTTATACTTAGGAGATTGGTTTTATATCCATTTAAAGTAGGCATCTTGTGTTTTCATTTCTGCGATTCTCTAAAATAAAAACATTCTCAAGAGCTTAGCTCATATAGCCCAGTAAAGCAGGTGCACCGAGATAGTTTGACAAAACAAGGCACCACGTAATTTTAAGTTGCTTTTTATCAGCCAGCTATGTTAATTTCTACTCTATTCAAAGCAGATAGAAAAATCTATTTTCTTTAAATGAAACAATCAGTGGAGAAAATGAGACCTTTAAGCGTGTGAGAGTATCTGTAAACAGTGATGAGTAAAAATTTGAAGTTAAGAAACTTCCCTTATTGCTTTAAGTTTGTTTATAATTTAAGTGGAAAGAAAATGATGCAGAAAAATGCCAAAATTGCAGGAATCCAGATTATTTAATCTTCTAGTCATTGATGTGTGCAAATTTATTTCTGTTTTATTTAAACTGTTCATCCACAATCAGGGTAAGCTTGCATGCTGGCTGAATATGTGTTCTTGGTGGGAGGAGAAAGCAATTTGGAAGCTGATTTGGTTATGTAGTTAGTAATGTTACTAAACCTGGAGCGTAAAATCAGTAAATAGAATAGTATTGCTAGTTATTGAGTTTCTTTGTTAAGTTTAAAATCTGTTAATATATGACTGATATAGACGTATATAACCAGAAAAGTTGTCTCAGTTGTACACTGTGCCTCACCTCGTTATGGTGGTTGTTCCTCTCCAGGGAGATACAGTTCTGAGAGTGACGCCTGGAGCTTTGGCATCCTTCTCTGGGAGACGTTCAGCTTAGGGGTCTGTCCATACCCTGGAATGACAAATCAGCAAGCACGAGAGCAAGTGGAACGAGGTGAGCCAAAGACATGAGTTAGGAGTGTTCACATCCAACCCTGGGTCAGTGCTGATGCTATGTCTGGTGGTCGTATTTCCTGGGGTGTGAGGTGATACTGTTTTGCGTATCTCAGTAGAGAGCACGCAGAACATTTTTGAGAATGTCCTGATACTTCTGAAGAAACTCTGGTCTCAGATTTGAGATGGGAATAACTAGATGATGGTGACATTGAAACGCACACTTGTGTGGGCTTCTTAGCTTTCAACAAAAAGAAGGCTGTCAACCAGATGTCCGTGCCCTCACAACAAGGGTGGTTATAGAACTGGGTGAATATAAGAGGCTGACGTTGTAGCATCCTCCCATCCCTTTCCTGCCGGTCACAGATGCACGTGTACAGACACTACCCAACTGCTTCCTAACTGTTAGAAAACTTCGAAATAAAGATCAGATTCTTTTCAGACTGTTAGAAAATACCACTAATATTAATTTATATTCCACTTTTGAATTGTTACTATTGTTGTTAAGTGCTGTCAAGTCAGCTCCGACCCATAGCAACCTGTATAGGATTTCCTGGTTGCAGTTAGTGGCTTATAACTGCTGACCTTGTGGTTCAAACCGGCTTTACGGTCCAGTGCAGTAACCTAAAGTGTCACACCAGGACTCCCACTTTTAAATTAGTGTTTATAAAATCATCCTCCTCCTTTCATCTTTAAAAGCATAGGTTGTAGAGATGATTTTTGAAAAAATACTCTTACCAGCAGCATCTAAAAGCAATGTCTCAAAGCAACTAAAATGTGTATTTATTTGTGATGTATCTTACATTAGACCTTGTAACAAAAAAATCAAAAACACCTCGTGTAAACTAAAGGGTAATCCTGTGGCTCTTTAGTATTGAATTCTGCACCACATATAGAGAAAAAGATCAGTTTGCCATGAAATGAATGTTTTGTTTCTGGTACACCTACAATGTAAGGTACTAAAGTTTAAACGCTGCATCATGCCCTGTGTGAACATCTTGTCTCTGCACTAATTGCTCTGTTCCTCTTCTCTTGGCTCCTCAGGATACCGGATGTCAGCCCCTCAGCACTGCCCAGAGGATATATTTAAAATAATGCTAAAGTGTTGGGATTACAAACCTGAAAACCGCCCCAAGTTCACTGAACTTCAAAAAGAGCTCACTGCTATCAAGAAGAAAATGTCATAGTGATGAAACAACACCAAACCCAGCATCCTACACTCTGTCTCCCACAGAGCCACAGTGTTCTTCTCATTAGCAATGAGTTTGTACCACATTACTTGCAACAGTCTTCTAAGGTTATTTTTTTATCGACTGTTTGGGTTTTTTGTAATATGTTCCACTTTGAAAAAGAGGCAAAGGCAAATGCATTTAAAAAAAAAAAGTTCTCCAAAGGGCTTTGTTAACTAACCACAGCAATCCTGCCATTTCAGACCATTGTAAATAGTAAAGTAGACGTTAATGTGAGGGGCAGCAGATCTATCTTTTTTCACTCCCAGGACTATTGCTGTCTCTCAAAAGGTTCTCTACTTCAGGCCCACTTCACAGGCTGCTGTTCTATGCCACAGACACCTACACTTCTGGTGCTATCTACAGTTCCAGGGCATGTGCCAACCAACGTTAGCTTTCTACTCTGCTGAGACAAGATAATGTTCGTATGTATCATTTCATGTTGGGAATTATTTGGACTGCTTAGAGTTTTTCTTTTCTTTTTTGCCAGAAATAAGCCCAGTGTCAGCATCACCATTCTCTAGCTTTAATAATAGGGTGGTCACTTCCCTCCTCCTTTGTCCAGGATGCTCTAGAAAGCTGTGACAACAAGAACCAAGTTTGAACATGAGGGTGTTCTGGAGAAAAGAGTAGCTAGAATGTTATCAAAATAGAGAAAAAGAATTCACCCTTTTTATTTTATGGTCTGAGTTCACCAAAAAATGTCCTAAGCAGTGTTTCAGGAATTCATAAATAGAAATTTAATCGCAACAACAATTTTTAATCGCAACAACAATTTTTTTTTTCCCCAAAGAATCTATGAAGCACACATCTACAGAAGTAACGGTTCCTTCTGGTTGAGTATCTTCACCTCACAGGAGGCATCCTAAAACTTAGTTCACTTAATTTGTGACAGTGTGTTGAGCTATGAGGATTTCATAATCTTAGTTCTCAAACACACTTGTGTGTATATGTGTGTATGTGCGCACATGCAGTACAACCAAGCAACACGGCAGGTGTGAATGAAGCAGATGGTTAAAACATCAAGTGAACATTACTATAAGGCAAAAAGCAGTTATGAGGAGAAAGATATAGGGACAGCCATCCTATTTCCACTGTCCTCCCTGGAAATTCTTATCATTAGCTGACAAGTGTACAAGCACAGAACCAGAGATGTTCTGGGAAGATAAAATGTAATACAGCTTTAAAAGTAAGATTCTGTTGCTCTGGACCTTATCTTAGTCCAGGGAATTTACTCCACATTTTGTTTATAGTTTCTTGGGCTGAATTTGTGGGTAGGAGATGATCATGCTAAGGGGTGAATATAGCCTGGGAATCTTGTATACGTGCTCAGGCCTGTGTCCAGATGAACATCATCGTAGTGAAGATTCAGTCTACATTCATGTGAAGAGCTTAAGTGAGAGAAAATTTCTCTTGCCCTCCCCAGCTGCTTGCTGCCTTCAAGCATCAAGGCACAGAGCTCACCTCCAGTACTTCAAATTGTGGAAAAGAAAAATGGCTTGTGTTTATGACATCCATCTCTTTGCAAATTGTTTATACATTCGGTCTAAACCACAAGGCCAGCAGTTCAAATTTACCAGTCACTCCTCAGAAAACCCTATACAGGGTCGCTATGAGTCAGAAGTGACTCAGTGTCACTTAACAACAACAGCGTATTCAGAGTAGGAGCTTTGGTGCATTGGTGGTTAAACACCCAGCTCCTATCCAAAAAGTCTTCAATTTGAACCCACCAGCTGCTCCACAGGAGAAAGATGTGGCAGTCTGCTTCCACATTTACAGCTTTAGAAACTCTATTGGACAGTTCTACTCTGTTCAGTAGGGTTGCCGTGAGTCAGTCAACTCAATGAGTTTGGTTTTATTTTTTATATTCAGACTAAACTGAAAGCATAATCAACTTGCCCTCCAAAATATTTTGTAACTTACAAAGCAGCTTCTTTTCAATCAGCATGGCTTCCCTTCTACCAAAAGTTACAAGTAACTGAAGACTCCTTTTGATGACACATATTGTTGTAAATCAAAGCACAGACTCCTGAGTTAAGATCAAGTGCAGTAGTATTCAGGCACACGTCAGCCTTCAAAAGTAAAAGTACGATGGGGATGTTTCTACCCGTTTGTCAGGATTTCCAAGTGAATGTTTCTGTTGTAATGTTTTGCTTCTGTGTAAAGAAAACAGCCTCATGTCACTTAGCAGCCTGCCTCATTGCTAAGCTCCCAGAAAGAAGAGAGAATGCTGGGTTTGGCTTTAATTTTGTGAACCAGACCCAAAGCTTAATCCTTGCATTCTGGTAGAAAGTATGAGCATGGCATTGATATTTCACTCATCCAGGCTGTTCGAATTTGCAATTCACATCATAGCTCTGTACTTAAATTAAAAAAGCTTTTCAAAACATTGTGACATCTGCAGCATTTAAATTCTGTTTTATTCTTTGTCCCAAGGTAGACAGTGGTACAGTTCAGGATTAATAACTCACTGGGCGTCTTTCAGGGTCACGTCAGTTGTGTAGAATATTAAATTTAATACAGGCACCTGCATTAAGAGAAACTTATGCAAACCTTTTTTTTTTTTTGAACTGTTAATTCTGTTGTGCTTGAAGCATAATTTATTCATCCCTTCTGTCACTGATAATTACTGGGATTATGTACTTTAAGCGGCTAATCCATATCCAGAAAGCATGAATTTAAATACTTTCCTGAATTTTCAAGTTGATATAGAGAAAGAAGGCTTCCAGCATGCAGAAAATGCTGTGACCTGTTTAGTAAGAAAGCAGTTGTAACCAAAATTGTCACTGGTCTGGATGTAATTAAGGCAGGTCACAAATCTTTTTGTTGTCAATAGATTATTCAGGAGTTGTCGCATACATCATTCCAGAATCATTCCTTTCATCATTTCTCACATTGATGCGAACAGGGGCTACAGCACAGGCAGTCTGAGTCTGACCTGCATTTGTTTACCTTCAATCACCAAGGACCCTGTATGAGATCTATGTAGGCAGTTCATCAGTTCTTCAAGGAAAGAAATCTTGTCATGTCAAATTAACATGTATTACCAACATGTGAAACCTAGAATTAATTTTCTATTCTGTGTAATATAAGGTGATTTCCCAAAGCCAGCATATTCTTTCTCTTCCAAGGAAATAATAAAAGATTTTGTTTAAACTTTTAAAAACAGAAGCTTTATTTAAGTCATCCTGTTCATAGGTCTCCTGTGAAAGGACTCGTGTCATTGTTTCTCTTTTATGGCCCAAATTTAATATGGACAATAACGGTTCCCATCCACAGCTCACTGTTTTATCACATTATTAACCCATCTTACTAGCAGAACCGTCTAGACCATGAACTTGTGTTAGGTTTTATACCGTGTTCATTTCCAACTGGTCTTCACTTTAGGGTTAATCTTACTCATTTGAAGGGGCAAGGCAGGGAGAAAATGTTTAGTCATTAAAATATTTTTAATTTCCTTTGAGCCATGGTGTGGTTCTCTGGTCTATATTGCTCTTATGATTAAGTTTTACCATATGGTTTCCTACAAAGTTTGGCTAATACAACTAAAATAACTGATTGTTTGCCAACACTGTTACTGAATGTTTCAAGAAAGAAAGCATTTTAGTTCATATGTATGCTTCACACTGAGGACCTGTAGTGGGAGAAACATAGAAATTGGAATGCAACAATGCATGCCAAAATCACATGTCACTGTTCTTCCACGCTATCTCATTCACACCACTTTATAAAGAACTCCTGTGAGTCATCAGAGGCTCTGAGAGTGAACCTCAAACCTTACTGTGTATAACTCTGTGCCCACGATTTTGTGCCCATGTGTCCTTTGAAGTGACATTAATTGCTAATATTTTCTGAAAAGACGTTGTTTGCCTCAACCCTCTTTCATATATTTTTATTGTACCATTGGTAATTTAGATGTTTCTTATCAACAGGATTGATTGTCCATAAGCAGTGTTCTGAGTCAAGAAAAGATCTACTCTGGCATTTAGCAGGTCACAGCCTCAAGCAGAGCATAATACAAAATAAAAAAGAGCAAGAAAGGGACAGACAATTGAAAAAGGGATGTCTTCTTCACATATTGATATCTTAATTAAATGAAATCAAGAATTTTATGAGTTTATATTTCGATTACACTATAAATTACTTCTGGTGTGGTACTGTGGGATAAACACTGGACCACAAGGTCAGTTTCAGTTGCAAGGTTGATGGTTCAAACTCACCAGTTGCTCCTTGGGAATCCTATACAAGTGTAGCTATGAGTCAGAACCAACTCAACAGCACTTAACAACAACATTGAGTTAGTATAGAAGTTTGTCATTAAAATAAAGGTGTTATCTCTTCTGTTATTAGCACTAACTTGATAATACCTAACAGAATTGTTTCATTAAACATTAGATTTATTTTCCTCTGTTTTGACTAGTTTCTGACTAAGGCATCATTTGGGAGAATCCAGAACTACATATTCATTTCCACAAAATAAAATACTCTGATTTTTAAAAAGGCACAATTTTAGTTACCAAGATTCCTTTCTTGCAGGAAATACTGGAACAGTATCTAGAAGATATATAAACTATATCTCTTAGCTATAATTTGATATGGGAAATTCTTTTTTTCAAGTTTTTATTGTGAATTGAGTGATCGTTTACATGGGAGAACATCGGCTTTACACTCATCCTATCGTATTTCGTTTCACTGCAATGATTACAATCCCCTCCATGCATCATCATTCAACAGTATTTGCTTCTATTCCCTGTTTGTTTTTTTTGGATATACACCAAAGCACTCAGAAATATGCAATCAGAAAATTTTATCTTGCTCCTTAAAAACTATTCTACTGCTGCATACTGATTCCAAGATTAAAATCTGAATTGTTCAATATAGACGTTGAGAACCACTTAGTTGCTTAATAACGGCTGACATTCTTGGGGTCGGGCACTGTACAAAAATCCTACGATTGTAAATTCTTAATCCATTTTGAACTGCACAGAAGTAATGAGTATAGGCTTCAGTCTATCTGTAAAAAGATACACTGCACCTGAAAAAATAAAAG